ATGAGAGTTTGGTCGCTCCGGCGGCTCATGCTGTAGAAGAACCTCTCGAAGCTGCGTGGTTGTTCGACGCGGCTGTCGTAGCGGAAGGTCTTGTCCATGACTTCCATGATCATGTTGAAGCCGTCTTTGTCCTCACTCGCCTTCTCGGCGATGGGTTCCACCTGTTTCCATGCTGTCCCGCTCAAGGTGGTGAGCAGGTTGATCACACCTTCTTGCGGTTTCTTCTGCAGGATCATCTTTTTCTGGTACAAGTGGATTCTGGCTCTCCACTCCTTGTAGTCGGTGGGTCGGTTGCTGAAGACCGGGACCCATGAGTCCTTGGAGGCGTCCACGCCTTGCGAACTTGCCATAGCGCTCGTCAATCTCGAAGCAGCAAATCAGCAGTGGGCCCCGTCAGGGGCTCCGCTACCAATTTGAGGTTGGTAGTGGCAACCCTCAAGCAAATCCCGCAACTTGCTCAAATGGATCTCTCTGAAAGAGCTGCGGCGCGTCCTTTTCACACCATCGTGGCCATAGCTTGATGTGCACAGTGCAATGATGACCCATCTTGGATGGACATCAAACAACAGGACAAGGGGCGGTTTGGCCCAAGGAGCAGCGGTATGTGCTCAAGGTGACCTGGCAAGCTCGTTCGACGGCGTCGAATTCACAGTATGAGTTTGCTTAACGGGCCGGTATATAAAATGTGTGTGTGACACTTTATGGTTTTTCATTTGGTAGTTAGTAGTTGCATTCTGAACAGCTGAAGTCCGTGGCGCCCTTTAGCATCTTCAGTCATGTCTGACATCGTCGCCTTTGAAGACTGCGACCTGTGACCGAGTTGGCGACCCGACAGTAGAGATCATTGTAGAACTGGAGTTCAAGTTCATGCCCCTTCCATTGAAACTGTTTTGGAACAATTTTTCAACCGACCTGCTTGGGATTTGCTTCCGAGCGAGGTCGGGCTCTTGGAGAACGAGCATGGTCGAAACGATCCGGTTTCGGTTCGGTTTGGCGTTGCGTCAATTTTTATCGGTTGGATGCTTCGGTTCAATTTTTCATCGGCGCGGTTTCCATTCCATGCTATCGGTTCGACGTTCGGTTCAATACATTTACATTATTGAACGTAGTGTTTTCCCTTTTTTTCGGTTCGGTTCGGTTTGCAGCACCAGCAGCGCCAGCAGCAGCGGCGGCCACCTCACCAAGACCATTGCAGGGTTGACCTAGGAAAATAGGACATAACAGCTTCCAGGTAGCGCGGGTGAATTATACTACGCTTAGGCCATGCTTATACCTTCCTCACATAGACTTCTCCTTCAAGGAACTCACGGCTCACTACCAGAGCTTTCGCGCTTTCCCCAGCAAAATGGTCTAAACCCACTAAAGAAGGCTAAGGGCGGAAACCATGTCCAGGTGATTTTTCACGCAACCCAAGACTGCGGATGCCAAGGGAGAATGTTGGCAAAGGCCGGGCTTATACCATGTTTAGGCGTCCAAGCTCATTAAAGGAGGCTAAGGGCGGAAACCATGTTCAGGCAATTTTTCACACAGGTTGCGATTTGAGTCGCAACCCAGGTTGTGATTTGAGTCGCAAATCAGGTTGCGAATTGAATCGCAACCCAAGACTGCGGATGCCAAGGAGAATGTTGGCAAAGGCCGGGTTTATACCATGTTTAGGCGTCTGCCCACTAAAGAAGGCTAAGGGCAGAACCCATTCAGGTATAATTCAGACTGGACCAACCCCTTCTCACCTCAAACCATAATTATTGAAGTGTGAAAAGGGCAGGGCCAAGGAATATACACGCACCCTTCTCACCCCAAACCATGAAAACGTGACTTGTTCAAGTGTGAAGAAGGCAGGGCCAAAGAATATATATATATATACGCACTCTAAACGCAGTATAAACTTGCCCATGCCCTGCGTTTGTGACTCTCCCTCTTTCGCTCCCTCTCTCTTTCCTCTTCTCTTTGTAAAGGAGTACTCTTCAGCAGAATTACTTAGCCCAAAAAACAATTAAAAAAATCCAGGTGTTCATGTTAACCATACATGTTGTAAAGGCGCAGGTTCCATGTAAGCAGAAAAAAGGCGCCCCCAAAGGGCTAACATAGCCCGCAAATCACATGTCACACGTGTCACTTAGTGCCTTTAAACCAGATTCCATGTTAGTGGAATGTGTGTTTGGCAGGTTCCATGTTAAGGTAGATTCAGAGCCCGGGAGGGCGGCCATCCTAAATTTTCATAAACCCTCACACAGACCCCACGCCTCCTGATAGTTTGTGATGTGTTGTGATGCGTATTGCACGCTCCAAGCTCCCTCGCTCCAAACTCCTGGTCCTCCACCTCAAAACCCGCGATTTCCACCTCCAAGCACTTGTGGTCCAAAGTTGGCTACGCTAGTATTTACACTGGGTGAACAAAAAAATCATTTACTAAACTGCCACCAGAAATGCTTTTTTGGCCTCGGAAAGGGATGTCCCCACACATGGCTTCCATCCTTCAAGATAAGCTACAATGAGGTAGAGTACTTCCCACAAATGTCACCCCGTGTTCTATGTTAACGGCTGTGTGTGATTCTGTCGGTACGGTAGTGATACAGTATTGGCTGCACTTCTTACAGTGCAGCACTCGTCGTCCAACGTTGGCTACCTAGTATTCACATTGGGTGAACCAAAACAGCCAAGCCAACACTTGAACATTTTGTATCAAATCTTTTACTAAACTGCCACCAGAAATTACTTTTTTGGCCTCTGAAAGGGGTCCACCACAAATGGCTTCTATCCTTCAAGATAAGCTACAACGAGGTAGAGTACTCCCCAGAAGTGTCACCCCGTGTTCTATGTTAACGGCTGTGTGCGATTCTGTCGGTACGGTAATGGTACAGTACTGGCTGCCCTTCTTGCGGTACAGCACTTGTGGTCCAAAGTTGGCTACCTAGTGTTTACACTGGG